TGAGTAATTTCTTGGATGGCCACTTTTTACTTTGAGTGAACATATGTTGAAGTTGTTCCACTCTTACTCTGGTACATTTTTGGATACTCTCCCCGCCTCTGACTACACTTTATTTCAGTTTCATGCCATTATTACCGCAATTCAGTGATCTGAAACGGTCTTAGTTTTGAGGAAGGTGGAATATAAAACCAGCCATTTCTTGTCTTTATAGCCAATATATTTGGTTACCTTCAAACATGACCTCTTGGTTCCTGCAGATTATCCGTCATCCTCCCACAGAAATCTGTGAATTTCTGATGATGACTTACAGCCTCCTCCAACATAAAGTGTTTTCCTTTTCCCTACAAATATTGATAAATGTCCGGCTGCCTCTACTTTCCGGGCAGTGATTAATTTAGGCTGACGTCACCCACTTCGCTGTCGCAATTCATATAGAAACTGACTAGACTGAGAAATGAAGCAACAGATTCTGATCCCAGACAGATTGCATGACAGGACTTTCGAATTAATGTGACTTCTACGAGCGACTTTTAAAAGTTATCTTCCCTTTGTGTCTCCTTTTTGGATTATGTGTTTGACTTTACGATGGGAAAAAAAACAAGTCTGTCTAGCGTCAGTCCTCTGCTGCGGCCTCATGCTGGAAAGTTGTGAGCTGTATAATTTCCTGCTAATTAGACATGTTTCCTCTCCCGCCCACGAAGAGAGGCTGCCGGAGTGCACCGCGTGAACGTTTGTGTGTTCCTCTAGAGTCCGCATGCGTGCTTTATGTGAGCACCGCCAGCTGAACTCCTGTCGTTTTATAACTCGCCTCTTCACCTACTTCCTCCTCGGCCTTCATTAGAGTGTGCGCCGCTTCTCTCCCCCGGAATCTGGAGAGGAATTTTAAGGATTTGAGTTGCACAACTTGATCTTGAAAGCATCCACTGAAAACCAAACGGAGGTCAAAAGCCCCCAAAACAAAAACCTTTTAGGACCTACATTCAACACAGTTGTGTGATTATTTGCAAAGACACTCAGGATGTCAGAGACCTTTGATGAATCAGAGAACAGAGGCTGCATTTCTATTACAAATATTCACAAAAACCTATATCAAGGTTTCCCTCCTGTTTCCCAAACATCGAACTTAGCTCGCTAAGTCCGGTGTTTGGGTGCCAGGTTGTTCATCCTGCAGCCCGTCGTGTTTTTGAGTTAAAAATGTTTAAAGTTAGCTGGAATGTCACTTGATAATTATGTGTTGTTGAAAGACTGAAGATTAATACCTGAACACCAACTGTAAAATCTTAAAAAATGCAAAAATTTCAAAAAAGACTTAAATAAATAAGCAATGCTTAGCCTGGTGGGGGCTCAAGTAAAGCCTGGTGGCCCGTCAGGCTTGTAATACTTTGAGGGAAACCCTACATGACAGGTAAATGTGAAAGAAAAACACAAGCTTGATTGCTGTGTTCCCATTAAATAAGAAACACACTTTAAATGATGCATGAAAAAGATAGTTCAAGCCATTAGTCGTTAAAAAACATAACGTACCTTCAACTACTTCCTGTCGTCTTCTTCTTTGCGGTTCGCGCCAGTGGCAACATCCTGTCGTTGATCATGTGATTCATGTGATACAAAAAAAAAGTGTTTCCAAAGTTGCTGTGTTTCCTTTGAGGGAATTTATTTTCGAGATGTCAAATTGTAGTTTGTTTATTCAAGTCTAAGGATGACCTCTTGGTTTCTGTGGATTACAGACAATTTGCATGCATTTTAATACTTTCCCAATAGCAAATTGGACATCACTTTGGATAAAGTGTAATCAATAGAAAAGTCATACAGCTAACAGTTTGTTTGTGGTTCCCCCGTAAACATGGCGCCCTGAATATAGAACCAGACCGTCCATTTCTGGACGGTCCAAAACTGTCCAATGGCCGCTGGATAAAAGGTGATTGGTTCCCACTACTCACGAAACGATCGATTATCTATTACTTCTATTAATTTGAAAATAATGCGACAAAAACTTCAGATTTACACACATATTTCCCCACTCTGACATTCACGCATCTTCGAAGTTGTATTCTTCTGTATTGCTAAAGGGTGATTGATGCAGTTGCTACTAAGTGTAGCCAGTGCAGCTGCGTGTTGCTCTTATTTTTGCCTCCTCTGGTGTTTCTCCTGTCCTCCTATCAAGCAATCAGCTCGCTTCGTTCACATCGCGGCCACGGAGGGAGAAATGACGTCTGGACAGTCGTTTTGGGTTGTGTCCCAAGCCCACCATAGCATCTGCCTTGTTGTTGCCTATCAGTCTAAAGCAAATACTGTCACAACCCTGTCAGTTATGGAGAGGGAAGAAGCGCTTAGGATACAAACAAGGCTGAAGAATCTTACACACACCAGTAAAGATAACTGGTGTGTGTGTGTGTCAGATTATGCTCGCTGCAGAGGATAAACCCTGATGTCACAGTGACACAGACGATTAATGTTTTTCCTGTTTTTGTTTTTCTCGAGTTTTTCTTCAGTTTTTTTTTTTGTTTTTGTTTTTGTCTAAGTGGTCACTTCCTGCCGCTCACTCCTAAACTCTCAGCTTAACTCTGGAGAAAATCCGCTGTACTTCATTTGTAAACCTTGGACCGTTAAGTGCTTCGGCGTTGGACTGGGGAACTGTGAGCCGGACGTTTAATTGAGAACGATTTCCTTTAGTGCTCAGCTGCTTCTGAGCGTCCCTTGTTTTCTTGTCCAGCTAACTCATAAAAAAAAACAGAAAGTAGTCAGTAGTTGTTTTCTTAACTTTTTTTCCCAACATTTTCTCTTGTTAGCACACAAACCTAATACATTTGTTTGGATGGGGGGCTCGAGGTGGTAATTTTATGACACAGACCAAAACTAAATAGTGGATAATGGTGAAAATGGAAGGAAATTAATGACAGGTTTTCATTTGCTACCCCTAAATGAAAAACCAGTGGAACCAGCTGCCCGCAGAAGTTTCTTACTCATCTGGTAAAGTCCGCCTGCATGTGATTTTTTTTCCTCTCTGCATAAATATAGCTACTCTATGAAGGTCTAAGAGGTTTATGTGCCGCACACTGCCCTGAGCAAAACGCCGCCATGATTGATGTCAGCGTTACGTTGTGGTGGCAGCGTCAATTTCAACCCGTCATCCCTGGAACGTCGATCGACACACAAACCCGATGTTGCCGATTTTGATGATGGCAAAGTGTCGTCATGTCTGTTAGTGGTTTCACAATAGGCGACAGTATGATGCTGTTTGTTTGTTGTTGTCTTTTTTAGGGATGTAAAGCATCTTGAAAGGACTTGTTGCTGAAATGTGCTGCACAAATAAACTTGACTGATTGACTGAAAACAAGAGGATCCTGGGAGAAAACCTGCCAGAGGCAGAATAACATAACATGAGACGGGGGTCAAGGTTCATCTTCCAGCAGGGAAATAAGACCAGGCATACATACAGATAGAGCAGAGCAAGAAGTAATCTGCTACAGAATAGAACATACTTTATTGATCCCCAAGGGAAAATTGCTTATTTGTTGAAATCTCCTCCATTTAGGTGATGAATACAACGTTTGTAACATATATATATATGTGCCTAAGAGTGAATAATAAAAATGTGAACAGTTCAAAATGACTGGATATAAACTAATAAATAACGAACAAGAAAAAAAACGTGAAGCATATTAATCAATAAATAAAAGTGCAGTCTAAGCTTAGATGTAAAAATGAACGAGAATCTGTGGCCAAACAGGATATTTTATGTCATTAGAGCCTCTCTAAGAATGAGCTTTAGCTATTAGCAAAAAAAAAAACAAAAAATGGCTAAAAGGGCTGAGTCTGGTATTATATTGAACGATACATATGCAAACAATAGATTTCAGATTTTTCATTTTGGACACCATATGCATTTATTGCAGCCAAAGCAACAACCAGACTTATTGCAGTCAAAAACATTGTCTGTACCTGACAGGAATATGCTTGGATCCACGTACACAAACAAACGTTTTTGCATTTTTATTAGCTTTTTTTTTTTTTTTTTTTTTGACTGTCACAATAAAGTTTCTATTCTATTCTATCACTGTGCAATTTAATGAACTGCGCAATTTTAGCTTGGACGCGATAAAACTGTGAAAAGGTTTCAGAGCGTTGTTCATCTCCCTTTTCATGGTGGATGTTAAAGGTCTGGTGTTCAGAGGCCCTTCAAGGTCTTTATAGGTTAACTACTGTTTTTCAATGATAAGATTTCGGCCGACGCCTTCAGTACCTCTCCTTGAAGCTTCAGGGGCGCCACAGCTTCACTCTGAGGGCGGAGCGGTGGGGGAATGGGGTGGGGGGGGGGGGGTCCGACCGTCGACAGTAATCGATTTGTCCTTTTGTTCCTGTTTACTGTTCCTGGTGGAGGTTAGGGAAACTGCGGCCATATCGCAGCGGCAGCCGATGGCACAAGAGGGATCGCATTTCTGAGCGGCTCCTTCAGGTTGCCGGAGAAACCGAACGAGGGCTATTTGTTCCAATTTGCTCTGTGGCATCGAGATCAAAAAGCTTGGAACCAACGCTAATATGCACTCCACCATATTTGCATCTGTGTTTGCAGGAAAAAAAACAACACACACACACAGTGGGGCATCTGCTCACCTCATTTACATCTATATTGTTCCCCTACAGTTCGGTGCAACGCAAGGCCTCCTACGTTTTACAGGCTTTAAAATAAATGGTTTTGAACTTTCTGGTTTGTTATTATCCTCTCAGGCCTTTAGGCTTGATGTAAAGGCGACTCGCTGCCCCCCCACCCCCAGCCCTTCAGCCCCCTCAACCCGGAGGAGGCTGCTGAGTTTAGAGGCCGTTCCTGCGCCGCCTTCACTGACCCATTGAAAAGTTGGCGGTTTGTTTGCGAGAGCACCAACCTCTTTGTGGCTTTGCGCTCCGCTCACAAGAAGGAGGCGAACGGCGCATTGAAGGCTCACCCTTCCCCTCCCTCCCCCACTCCTTCTCACCCCTCTTCTTTCTCTCCCTTCTTCCAGAATCAATCTGAAAAGGACAGACGGACCCTCTCAGCCCCTCCGTCCCCCCACACCCCAGGGATGCTTAGCCGGTGAGTACTCTCTACTTGTTTGCACTCAGAACTCGCCCCCCCCGTTACTTTTTAACGCTGTCTGCTTTCAGTTTCTTTTCGCTATTCAGCTGACTTTTTCTTTCTTTTCATGTCTTTCCCCCACACCCAAGTTCTGCTGGTCAACACCAAACTTCTCCCTGGACTTGGGTTGAAAATGATTCTGTTGTTCCTTCTCTTTCATGCAAAGAGAAGGAAAGGTCTTTGTGGTCGTCGGCCATCCAAGTTGGTGAAAGCCCCCCCCAGCCCCCCCATCCCCTTCTTTTTTTCTTTTTTTTAACGAATGGGGTCATTTGAAAAGCAGCGTGGAGAATAAGATACTGTATGGATGGAAGCTGAGTGTATGGGTAGAAGGGCTTCATGCAGGCTACTGAATTATAAGTCGATCGCTCAATCTCTCCATCCCTCAGCTACCTCCTTTATTCTCTCGGTGTGGGTTTTCCTCGCTCGCGTCTCCTCGTGTTGTGTCTGTTTGAGAGTTAATCAGAGAATCATTCCAGTTGCAGACAGCCTTGAGCCCGGCTTGGCGGTGAAATCATTATTCATGAGAGACGGGCGCGCACTCACCTTGCGAAATCACCTCCAGCAGAACACACTGGAGCCAACATTTGTACATTTGAATGCTAGTTTGCTTGGCAGCTGCACAAAAAAAAAAAAAATGAAACAATAAAATAAAAAAGCCTCAAAACCAGAGGATCAAAGTTTCCGAGTGGTAATGTGATCGTTTACTTTTTGTTTGCAAATAAGAAAGGAATGCGGCGCAGCTGAGTTTCATGAGAGGGATGGTCAATGTTAGGGCACCAACATTGATCACCCTGCACTCTATAAAAGTGAGTTATTTTCCACTTTCAGCTGTCTAATTTTTAAAAAAATGACATCATCTTCTGAGTGCTCGGTGGTACTCAGAAGATGTACTCATCATTGGATTTGAGTGTGGCCGTAATCATGCAACAGTTTTCGGTCCAGAAGGCGAGCAGTATGTAAAAAAGATGACAAATCATCCTAAATGTATCAAATTTGAGCAGCTGCTTTGACATTGTTTTTAGAAAGTGGGGTTGTGCGGTGTAGCTGTGAGTCGTCAACAGGTGAAATGAAGTAGACAGCAGGGTGATCTTTTATTGGGCACAGTTCCCAATATGGTTGCAATAAGTTTAACCAAACATTAATTAGATTATTAGTTTTTCCTAGTTTTACATTAATTATAGGGTTGGTGTCGGGCTCCGGTGAATGTTTCATTTCTTCCAGTATCTGTTGTATTTATAAGTGGCAAGTCTTGATGAAAAAGTCAGTCTGTTCATTGTGTGAATTTCCTCAATTATGTCCTTCCCCCATGATGGAGGTTCCACATCAAGCCACCTGTGAGTTACAGCTTTCTTTTTTTTTTATGGAAAATTTTAATAAATGCATATGCAATGGGACCAAATGCCTTGATTAATGTCACTTCTCTCATCAAAGGAGCTCATGCAAAGCTGGTCGTGAATGTCCTTTTCTCTTTTGCCCAGTGATAAAATTGCAAGATGAAGAGATTTTTGTGAAATCACTTTGCAATTTCTACAAAGGCGTAGCGCATTGAAAGCCAAAAAACATACAACTGGAACAGCCTTTTTTTGATCTGCAGCAAATTCGACATTTGCACCTTCTAGTGTTAACATTAATCACACATAAGTGTTTGCGCCAGGCTTAAAACAATTCTACATAAACACAAATGTTTCCCTTCCTGTCATTAGGGGTTATAGAAGACCCTCTGAACGATGGCTGACATTGGCAAAACATTTTTCCAACATCTGTGGTTTAAAGAAAGCTGAGAAAAAGGAAGAAAAATGGGACAAATATTCACATTCAAAACTTTTGATAACATCAAAACCCAGTTGGTGACTGGTTAAAATCACACATTATTTTAAAGAGCTAATGATCAGATTTCTGCTGCCTGCAAGGCATTCATCCAAGATTAATGTTAATTCTTTAACCGCATACGAAATGCTTTGTTGAACTTAATTCTCTAGATATTAGTCAGAGAAATGGTAAATGTGTTTGATTAACAACAATAAAAAAAAACTTTAGTTCATTTTTGTTCAGTGAAAAAAGTGTTTCTTCTCTCTTTTTTATTTTGTCACGCTTAAATTCTTCTTCTTTTTACCCAGAATGCCCAGCGCTAGCGTCCACTTCCTGCTTTTTGTCTCCGGTCTGCCCACTTGCCTTCATGGATGCGTTTGAGCCGCACAAGCGTTTTTATTTCTCATTTTTGCCAACGCTGGTATTTGCGAACTTTCCATTGTTTTCGCCTCACTGCTCAGCGCTGTCCTCTCTCCTCTCAACTCAATTTGTGGCCTAAAATTTCTTCATCTTATATGTGTCAGTGGAGCAGAGCGTGTCATCCTCTCTCCCTCTGTCTCTCTCTCTCTCTCTCTCTCTCTGGCCGCTCTGAAAGAAAAGAGAAAAAGAGCTCCACTCTGTTTGTGTTCGCTCCCTCTGCTCCTCTGGGAGGAGATCGGGAGCTCCCGACAACGTTGGCACCTCGTTTCTCATTCGCCTACACTGTTGTTGATGTTTGGCTTGGGATGACAATAAGCCGGAAGAAAACAAGCCTCTTCCAGGCCAATGAGAGGGAGAGAGAGAGAGAGAGAGTTGGTAGACAGAGAGACTGATCAGAAAAAGAACAATTAAAAAATGGATGGAGAGGAAGGGTACTCATCCCTGGAATGGGATTCTCTTTAGAGGATTCGGGTTTTGGCCTCTGAGGCCAAATTAAGGAAGCGTCATTATGCCTGGCAAACTGTCATGCTGCCTTTGTAGCCCAGCCATGACACATTAGGGCGCCTTAAACCGTGGCTGAGCCATGGCTCATTCAGCTCACAAACAGGGGGCGTGGGGGTGAGGTGGGTGGATGGGTGGAGGGGCACTGGCAGAACCTTGGCCTCGCTCACACAAGACTCATTGACATTACGCTGGGGCGGTGGGCGACGAGACGGTGACTGCAGTGATGGTGATATGAGTGGATGTCGTTAAGGCTGAATTTATTGAGTTTAATCGGCCAAAATCACAGATTGCGCCGAGACGCTCACGGGTATTTCATGGATCGTGTTTCGTCTCGCCAAACAGAAACGAGAAAACGTATTCATGCACTTTGGACATTTTGTCAAGTTAAAAACACAAACCGGTGCATTTTAGCGAGGCTGCATTCGATAGAACAGCACAAAGTGCTGCGATATTGACAGCGTTTTGTTGTTTTCTTTTCTTTTTTTTTTCTGCAAATTACACTTGAAAACCATTTGTGGTCACCACTACTGAGTCAGTCCTTTCAGTTCAATGACATTGAACAAGTTGGCACATGTGATTTCTTTTCTTTTCTTCTCTTTTTTGCCGTATTCTCCTTTACAAAACAACTCGAGCTCAGTCAGACTGGATACAAAGTGCCTCCAAACATCAGTTGTCAGGTCTTTCCGCAGATGCTCGTCTGGCTTCAGCTCTGGACCGGGTCACTCCAACACGAATGTGCGCAGGGAGTCCGTAGTCCGAGACAAACTGGGACGTTCATCTTCATCCCTGCTCCAACATGACAGAGCGAAACGGTTGTTTTCCCGCTGCAAATTAGAAATGTATTTGATCCAGGTGCATTGGAGAAGGAAAGCATCTTAAAGTATCTGGAACAGGCAGTGATGGCGTTTTCTTTTCCGGGGTGTTATGAACGGATGCGATTAAAAAAGGATGAAGTTGTACTTCCTGAGACATTCTTTCAGTAATGACTTTCAGATTTGTTGAGGGCACGCCTCAGCATTTTCCTAAATCTATCAGTTCAATCAGGTTTATTGAAAAGGTTTTGGAGGTATTGCAAAAATCTAACTGGACACATGAGTAACTGAATGAAAGTCCTCCCAGCCACATCCACAACTTGTACCCAGTGACTGTTCTCTTCCAATATTGTGTAAGTGTGCTCAATTTTCTGTGAATTACCACAAGATGGGAGTCCTGCAACTGCAGAGTCTCTCTGGCAGGAATGAGAGCAAAAAGAAAGAGGGGAAAAAAAACAAACCCATCTTTGTCCCACTTATCTTCATGTCAGATTTACATGGGGGCGGGCAACGAAAAGCAGGTTATGGAATGCAAAACAGTCCGGCTTCGTCCTGCATTTTAAAAGGCGTTAAACCAACAAGGTTTTGATTTGTTCCAGAAACAACCAATGATTCATGGCTACCTTTCAGTGCTGAAAGGATTAGCCTGTCGGTTCTTATTTCCATTTGTAAAACAAACAAAAAAGAAAAAAAAATGTAGCACTTTTTTCCCCCAAGTGCTGGGTTGTGTTCTGTAACTCTGAACTGAGCTTTTATTTTTCTAATATCATGCAACTCCATCTCCACATTTTGGAGACGGTGTTATGCTAATATAACCAATATATTTTGCTCTTGTTATGCTCAGAGTGTGCTGTAACATATGTCCCTTATTATGCATGGAAGTAAAACTGCCAGAACCACAATTGTGTATCGCTACAAAACCCATTTTCCTTCAGATTCAACACCTCTCGTCTTGCTTTAAGGTGTGAGTAATGAACTCCTGAAAAAGTCTTTCCCCCCACCTTCCTTGTTTGTACCTCTATGGACTTTACAAAACCTATTTGAATAAAAAAAATTCCTGTTTTATTGGGACTTCTAGGATCTCTAAGTGACAAGACCCTTTGAATAAATCCAATATATATATATAAAAAAAGATGAGTTAATGTTGTACATCTTTACAGCCATTTGTGGATTCTACTTAAGGTTAAAAGCAAGTAAAGTGAACAGAAATGGCCTGGATTCTCTACTCTGGCTTTCTAATGCCTACAAAATGTATTTATGTGTCTGAGGTGGGAAGAGAGAATATTCTCCTTTTGTTTGGTTTTGATCTAGCAAAAATTAAGAATCGGTCTTCTAAGTTGTTTTTGACCTAAGCCAACATGGAGAATCCTGACGAGACTAACAACATCTCCCTAGAAAAGTTTGTATTAGAAA